TTAAAAATTTTATGAATTTTTATTTATTGTTACTATTTATTTTTTTCTTTTTAAAAAAGCTAGGACAATTTACTTTTTGTCCTGCAGTTTTCATTGATGATTTTTTGAATTATAGCTCTGAAAAAACAAGCTTCAAAAAAGCCCATTGTGTTTCAAATGCAACTGCTTGACCAGGCCTTTAAACCCCAAATGCTCTAGCTCTCACTGAGTAGCCAATAATAGCATCCAACCGAAGCCTCAGCGGCTCATTGTTAAGATTTTGATGGCTTAAAATGAGTGCAAATAGCAACTGTTTTCTGTTCTGGCCAGAAACCACAACGGTCTTCCTGTCCCAAACTGATAGTTTTATGATGGTAAATTGGGCCATCTTTTGTCACAATTCTTACCTAGCCCTTAGTCACAGAATGGGCACTGCCTCAGACAAACTGAGATCTGGGAAAAAACTAATTTAGAAAGGCCAAGGTCACCCACTGCATCCCAGGTCATGGTCAGTTGCCTCCACTTCTGTTTTGTCACTGGACTTCGATGACTCTGGAGGAGAGAGTGAGGCTGATGACTCTGGGCAGTTCTGTCTCACTTGAATCTAATTCATGCTCACCTCAAGACATCACCCTTGAGTCTTCTTTGAGAAAGAAGGACCACAAACAACAACTGAAAAACAACATGAGTACTTTACCTATTTATTATATACCTATGTAAACCTATTTATTATAGACCCATTTGAGGTAATACCAAATATTACCTCATCTGAAACTCGAAACAACCCTGAGAAGTAGGTGCTATTATCTTCATTTCACAGAGGAGGAAACTGAAGCAGACAGAGGTTAAATGACTTGCCCACCCAACTAGTAAGTGCCTGAAGTCAAACTTAAATTCATGTCTTCCCAACTCCCGGCCCAGCACTCCATCCACTGTGCCGCTTACTGCTCCTGCAAGGGGAGTGAAAGGGAGCATCACCTATAGATGAGCACAGTGATGCTCAGTGGGGAAGCTGCCTCCTTAAATTCACAGAGGTTGTAAGTAGCTGAGCCGAGACTCTTATCTCGGGTTTCTTTATTCCCTCCTGATCCTGAGCTCTTTTCTGTCTTTTTTTTTTTCTTCCCCCTTTTGGTCCAGACCTGTGATTGCACTGGAGTGAGTTACTTTGAGCTGTGGAAAATTCCTCCATCGGTGCAAATATGTAACTTATCTGGGATTTAATAGTCTACCGGGTGGGCAAACTACATCCAAAGGCCAAATCCAGCCTACTACCACCAGGAGCTAAGAATGGTGTTTATGTTTTTAAAATACAATAAAACTTTATTTGAAACAAAACTAATTTTTACCTGGTGGCTGTACAAAAAACATGAAGCCAGACATCCAGTCCCTGCCCACAGTTTGCTGACCAGGGAGAAGGTACTTAGGACACAGACGGGTTAAGGGAGTGGTCTATAGTCACACAGCTAGTTTGTGTTAGACGAAGGACCTGAACCCAGGTCTTCCTGATTCTGACGGCTGAGCTGTACCAATTAGGCTCTCCTTTCTACTACATCCCATGCTAAATAGGGAAAGAATGTAGATGTGAAATAGTATGCTATTGTGCCCTTCAGGGGATATACAGCATGTGGAATTAGGATTGATTGAAAAGTAGGATGGAGGGGCCAGCTAGGTGAAGTAGTGGATAGAGCAAATCCAGCCTCAGACACAAAACTATCTGTGTGACCCTGGGCAAGTCGCTTGACCCCATTGCCTAGCCAAAAACAAAAACAACAACAAAAAAGTAAGATGCAAAGGCTTCAAGCCTTACTCCCAGAATAAAGAGGTAGATAGAGTGCCTGAACAAAGACAAAGATGAATTGGAGACAAAGGTAAAAGTAAACTCTTCAAGAGTTATTTGCTAAGTCATTGGTTTAGACAGGATTATTTTTTTCTTGGCTTGGCTTCCTGCTGCATTATTTTAGGAATATGATAAGCCTGCAGCTATGGGGAGTTTTAGAAAAGGACTTATTTTTAATTGCATGAAACTACCACCTGTGGCTCCTTAGCTACACAATAATCGTGTTGACAAATTATTACTTTTAACAAGTATGCTTATTTCATCTTTCTACTAAGTACTATTAGAAATGTTTAGCAAGTTTTTTATAGACTTTCTTCACTGTGTATATTTTTGTAAGTCTAGCTATAAAATTTGTAAATTCTGAGATGCTGATTTTATTTTTCTTTTAAAATTAAGCTTATTAGATATTGAGACAAAAAAAAATCCTTCCCTTCCACTTTTGAAGAATTATAGTACGAAAAGGCAGCCATGATACCGTGGAGCTTTCTATTTGAGTTAGAAGGCCTGGGTTCCAATAATTAAAGCATGTTTAGCCTTGAGTGACCACTCTCCCTTTGCGGGCTTCAATCATTTGTAAAATAAAGATATTGGAATGGATAAGCCAGGGATGGGGAACCTGAGGCCTTGAGGCCACATGTAGTGGCCCTCTAGGTCTTCAAGTGTGGCCTCTGACTGAATTCAAACTTCACAGAACAAATTCTCTTAATAAAAGGATTTGTTCTGTAAAACTTGGACTCAGTCAAAGGCCACACCCAAGGACCTAGAAGGCCACACGTGGTCTTGAGGACAAAGTTCTCCACCCCGAACAATCTCTAAAGTCAGTTTCAGTGATAAATTTTATGATCTGCAAAGGGCCTGTTCTAGATGATCTCGAAGGTCATTTCTAGCTTTAAATCTGTGAAATAAAGTGGCTGTATCTCTAAGGTCATTTACAACTCCAAATCTTAGTATTGTTTAATTAATATGGAAAGTGTACTTGGGCTTGTTTGGGACAGTCTTCATCTAATCTTCTACTCCTGTCCACCATCTCTTATACTGTCTAGTTCTCTAATTTAGCTGGTAAACTCTAGAAGTGGAATTCATGTAGCCAAGACAAAAGAAGGTATTACTAAAAATAATTTATATAGCACTTTAACAAAGAGTAGGAGGCTTTTCCTTACATGACACAAAACCCTATGGAAGGAATGAGTATTAGTTGGATGGAGACCACCAAATGTGGTGCACCGTGTTCCTTCTTTGGTGGATCCTCGTCTTGGCACAAGAAAATTAAATTGTTATGGAACTTTAATAGACATCTTAAACTCAATATGCCCCAAACTGAAATCATTATCTTTTCCCCAAACCCTAACCCCACTCTTACCTTCTTATTATAGAGGATAACACCATCCTCCCAGTCTCTTAGGCTCACAAACTAGGAGTCCTCCAGAATATTTTACTCTCTCACCATTCACATCCAAGCTGTTGCCAAGGCTCTGCAACATCTTTCCTGTATATCCCCTTCTCTCTTCTGTCACTGCCACCATTCTGGTGCAGGCCCTCATCACCTCACGCCTGGATTATTGACATAGCTTTGAGGTGGGTCTGCCTGCCTCAGAGAATCTCTCCCCACTCTAATCCATCTTCCATTTAGATACTAAAGTGATGTTCCTAAAATACAGGTCGGATTATATGTCATTGCCCCACTTGACAAACTCCAGCAACTCTCTTCTGCTTCCAGGAGCAAATACAAAATGCTGTTTGGCATTCAATGCCTTTCATAACCTAGCCCATTCCAACCTCTCCGGTCTTCTTACATCTTACTTTCCAACACTACTCTTCGATCCAGTGACTCTGGCCTCCACGCTGCTGCAACAAACAAGATACTCCCCAGCTGGGATTCTCTCTGGCAGTCCCCCTGGCCTGGAAAACTGTCCCTCTGACCTCCCAGGCTTCCTTTAAGTCCCAACTAAAATCCAACTCCTACAAGAAGCCTTCCCTGACCATGACTTCCCTTTTAATTATTTCCTACTTACCCTGTATATAGCTTGCTTTCTATACATTTGCATCTTGTTTCCCTCATTAGACTTTGAGTTCATTGAGGGAAAGGGGCCGTATTTTGCCCCTTTTTGTATCCCCAGTATTTAGCAAAGTGCCTAACATATAGTAGGTACTTAATGTTTACTGACTGGTTGTGCTGACCCTGGCAGTCAGTGCTAGGTCTGGGACATTCAATTAGTCACCTATGGGTGTCAATACCAAGCCCTTGGATTTTACTGCATTCTAGCTTCCCACAGGGTCTAGGTGTGAGAGGCTTTAAGGCCCTAGTTTACAAGGTATAACAAGAATTGATGGATGGACTTTAAAGAGCACCTAGTAGTCCAACACCCTTTTATGAATTCAACATTAAGTACTTATTGTGTACTGGGAGATTAGACACAATCCCTGCAGAATAATGACCCCAACAGAATTTAAAAGTTACATTTTAAGTTCCTAACTGACCAACAGAATTCTTACACGTGTTAAGGACAGTGAACATATTAAAAACCAGAACTTTCTGATGTCCTGGAGGAAGATGAGTACTAACTGGGAGAGAGGAGTGACTTTGGGAGATGGGAGAGAAGGGATCAGATTAAGTGAATAAAAAAGCATTTACTAAGCAATTACTACTACGCGGCAGTGGTGAAGGGACAACACCCTATCACACCACGAGCCCTCTCTCCCTCCTCCACTCCCTTCCACCATCTCTTTTCCCTGATCAATTTCCACGAACCCTACAGCTCCAAGCGGATGTGCTCTACTGCGCAGACTCTACCCCAGCTTCGGTACCCAAGAGAAAAGCGGCAGAAGAAAGGGGGTGGGGTCCGAGGGCAAGAAGTGGGAGGAGCCAAAGGAGCGAGGACGGGCGCGTGCGCAGAACGCTCTGCTTCCACCGCCGACCTTCCTCTTTCCCCCTCCTTCATAGGGCGCAAGATCTTTAGTGCCAGCTTCAGAGCAGGCCCTCTCCCCGCCCCTCTCTCTTTCTTTCCCCTCCCCCACACACTCTTCTCGTTCTTCCGTTATTCCCCCTCTTTCGCTGTCGGCGCTCTCGCGGCCTTTGGCAGTGATCTCGCGTTGTTTGGAGAAGCCAAAAGGCTAGGGGAGTGGTGGAGGGGGCGGAAGGCGTTGGAAGGGAGGGGGCTGCTGAGGAGGGAGGCAGGGCCTGAGTGGGAGGAGGGGGGAAGCGGCGGTAGGTTCATGGTGTCGGGCTGCCGTCTCGGTGGCCGCTCTTTCTTTTCGGCCACTTGAAGAGCCGCCAGGTGAGGACCGTCCCTGCTTGTTCCGGGCCCCATCCCAATCCCTGCGGGCAGGCGGGCGCTAGGCGCCGGTGGGGGCCTCGGCCTGGCCCGTCGCGATCGCCGGAGCTCGGAGACACCCCCCCTCTTCCCTCACGCGCGCGTTCCCGGGAGCCACGCCCTCCCCTCCCCTTACCCCTACCCCTACCCCTGCCGGTGCCTGGGCCCCGCCGCCTCCTAACCAGTCTCCTCTTCTCCTCTCTTGTCCCAGGCCAGCTGTCGCTGTTGCCGCTTCTGTCGCGATGGGGGCGCAGGACCGGCCTCAGTGCCACTTCGACATCGAGATCAACCGTGAGCCGGGTGAGCGAGCGGGGAAGGAGGGTGGGTGACCCTGCGGGATTCGGACCTACTCGTGCACACACCCCCTTCCTTCCTTCCTCCCTTCCCTCTCCCTGCGCCTCCTGAAGAAGAGGCGCTGTCCGACCCCCTCTTTGTTCCCTGCTCCTCGGCCACGGAAATCGAGGCGGCTCCTGGTGCCCCCTGTCTGTTTTTATAACGTTGTTCGAAGCCTCGGTTTCCCAGCTGTGAGATGCAGGGGTTTGGCTCCAATTTCTGTAGCTCTTTAAGGATGTTTACAAAATCTTCCCCCACCGGGGGGAGGAAGTATGGATAGTATTCTCCCAATTTGACAGCTGAGCCAGTGCATTCTTGGAGAGTTGAAATGACGTGTACAGGGTCATACAGCAGAGAAGTCAGGTAAGCTCATCTCCATCCCGAGGCTCAGAACGTGCCCCGGGTCACACATATAGTAAGTGTCGGAGCTGAGATTTGAATCCAGGTATTCTGAGTCAATGCAAGTCCAGGTCCCTGCCAACTTGAATATTTAATGAATAACTGTCAGGTCGTTGGGTCTTAACCTTTATTTCAAGTTTAGCGTTTCCTTCAGTTAATAAGCAGGGCTTAATTAAATCTTCCCCAAAATTGCAACCAAATAACCATGAAAATGGTAAGTTAAACTAATTGGATCATTTGATTTAGAGCTGGAAAAAAGGACCTAAGACTTTGCTTAGTTTAGATCTCTGTGTCCTGCAGATGGAGAAACAGATCCAGGGACTTTTCAGTGACTTGATCTAAGTCACACAGTAAGTAGCAGAGCTGACATTTGAAGGGAGGGCACTGACTCAGAAATCACTGTTTTTGCCAATACATCAGGCTGCCATTTCACTTGGGAGCTAAAGTTTCCAATATAGATCAGTTTAGTTCAGCAAGCATTTATTAGCTGCTTACTATGTGCAGGGTATAAGATGCAGAGGAAACTGGTAGTAGCCCAGGAAATTATATAGCTGGAGGGCAGGGACTGTCTCCCTTTTGTATTTCTGACCTAGTAAGTGCTTGGTAAATGACTGTTGATTAATTACTCTAATGAAAACCTCTATATAGGCAGACTGCTGACTGAAATAGTGCCATAAGTAAATGAGGTGCCATGCTTATACCTAACACATTGTGACCAAACCCACCTATGTTCATTTGGCTGACTGACTTTATTGCTTCATTCTATAGGAACTAGAATCATAGAATGTTATTGACTTGAGATATCATCTCATTTCTTTATACTGAGAAGGGGAAGTGACTCCCCCAGGTTACACAGTTATTGAGTGGCAGAATTGGGACTTACTTGGGTCTTCTTATTCCAGGTTCAGTACTCTTTCACTATGCTACGTGCCCTTGGCAAATAACCTCTTGACTGCCTAGCAGCTGACGTTCTGGTTCTTCAGTTTTATGTTCTGGAGTGACTGAGGGGGTGCTTCCCCTCTCTCTTTCCAGTAGTTAGCTCACCCCTTAAACACCTCATTTCCCTCTAATTTAGTTCTGTATGGCCAAGTGACCCCCTTCCCAGTGCTAGTGAGTTATGGTTTCACATTTCTACCACCCTGGTTTTACACGGGACCTGATGCTTTTCTGATGTCGCTTTGCTGAACCACTGATTCTGCCGTTCAGACTGCATTTTCTAAAAGAATCTGTACCCAGAATACCTGGGGTTCCCCTACAAAGCTGTGAAAATGAATCTATTAAATGTATGTATAAAACTAGAGCCATTAATACCAATTTTTGCATGATAATCACAGTAACTTCACTGTATGTGCTAGTGTTATAATACAACAAACATTTTAAATAAGTCACACTACCAAATAGTTGGGATTGCCAAAGACAAAATATGTACTTTAATGTGTAAATATTATTAGAACATGTTCCTTTCCAAGCTGTTTTTACAGGATTGAATGCTATCTAGAAAAAAATTGTCAGTGGGTTCTGTTAAGTGACTTCTTCCAAAAACTTGTCATAGTAGTTTTAATCACCTTGCTGCCATTTGTAGGGTTTATGCCATCTCTTTATGCACGGGTTGGAAGTTAGCAGAGTCAGACCTTTATATCAAATAGAACGTTTTCTTCAGATAAGTAAACTGCAAACCCTGATCCCTGAAAATGCAAGTGAAATTCACTGCAGTTTTCACTTATGTAAAGTAGAGATAATAAGGTTGTTGTGAGTATCAGATGATAATATTTGTGAAGTGTTTTGCAAACCTTAAAGAGCTATATAAATGCTAGCTAATATTGCTGCTGTTGTTATTACCACCAGTTCAGATCAAATCATGACTACAAATAACCATTACAACAGAAGCCCTGCACAGGCATGCACTGCATAATGTTGTTATGACATGTCTTTTTGTAGTTCAATTCAACAGACATTTATTAATCGATTATTATGTTTGAGGTAATGTGGTACTTAATGGTACTAACCAAACCTTGTCTAATTGTGGAAACTCCACTGTAGGGTCACTTGGTTGGTGCCTGTTGATAACATAGTTTCTTCTTCCATGTACCTTATTCTAATATGGAGGTAGCCCTGAATTTTAAAGGTTGTGCTACTGGAGCACAAGTTCTGGCAAGGCCTATCAAGATGGAAAGGTTTTGATTATGCTTTGTATATATCTTTCCTAGGACCAGCCTAGCTTTATTCTCAAAGGCTCATCACTGGAGACTTGGCTTTCACTTGATGAATTATTTCAGTAATAGTGAAAAGGATTGTCCACAAGGTGAAAATGAACTGATTTTCTTTGCTTGTGGGAGAAGGCCATGCTACTGAAATCAAGAGCCCTTGAAATATTTACTCTAAAACAATACTTGTCTAGGTATATCTCATTAAAGGGAACAGCATTCATATGATTTGGGGATCATCCAGAGTAAAAGTGAACTTTTTGTACTTATTTGTGCATATTAATGGATGTTATACATTTAAAGAGACTATTACACATTTAAAATGTGTCACTGGCATTTATTTAATTTCCGCCTAGTTTTTCAGAAAGATATTTGTTGAATGAAGTGAGCTTTATCTGGAACAAGTGTGTTATTCTCAAACAGATTTTGACCAGTATTTATTCAAATAATATGTTCTACTTTTTGTGTGTTTGGTGTTTATTTTATCTAAGAATAACAGAACCTCCTTGGGAAGAGATTATTGGTAGTAATCACTCTTGCCCAGATTAGCAAGAGAGTAAGAGGTTTTGATGAAAATGAGGTCATTGCAACATAAAAAAGAAATGCTGTTTCTGTTTGTTATCAGTAGGGATTTGCATCTTTTAATGTAAATGAATTAATGTACAGTCAATTAATAAGCATTTATTAACACTGCCCCCCCTCCCCCCCCGCCCAACTGTATGCCCAACACTGTGCTAGGTAAGTATCAGGGGGAAAATACAAAAGCAAAAGCGAAGTCACTGCCATCAGGGAGGTCATATGCTCTACTGGGAAGATGCTCTATATTCCCAGATAAGAAAATACAGGATATATGTGAAATAAGTATACACTATATATAGCATAAGTAATTCTTTTGAAAATGAAAGAAGCACAATGATTATAAGATCATAGAGATCTGGCCTTGTTATCAGGGTCCAAACCCTACCTTGGTCACCTACTTGACTCTGTGACCCTGGGCAGGTCTCTGAGACTGAATTGCTTAGAAGGTCCTAATGGCCCTGAGTTCAAATCTTATCTCTGCCACTTAACTAACTTACTTTGGGCAAGTCACTTAACCTCTCTGGGCATCAGTTTCTTTATCTGTAAAATGAGGTTGAATTAGATTATCTCTTGGGTCCCTTTTAGCTCAAGATCTATGATCTATGTTGATAGAGGAAGTTATTACTAGGAAAGCTAACAGTGAAGGAATTGTAGGCTCAGTTAAAAAAAAAAAAGACCATAGTAGAAATAGAAGAGCATTAGAGTGCAACATAGGACCTAGACTTGGACTCTTTACATCCTTTACCACTAGCCACGTTTCTGATCGCTAGTCAAGTCTTGTTGATTCTGCACCTACAACATTTCTTGTAGCTGCCCTCTATAATCACATAGCTCTCATCTTGTTTCAGGTTCTCAGTTCTTGCCTGGGCCATTGCAACCGGCTCTTAATTCACCTCTCTACCTTTATGCTCTCTCTTTTCCATTTCATCCTTCACAGTTGCCTAAATGACATAAGGGGGTAGGTCTGACTGTCACTCCCCAGGTCACCTCCAGTGGTTCCCTATTGACTCTAAGACAGAATAAAAACTCTCCTGCTTATTGTTTAAAGCTCTTCACATTCTGGTTCCTACCTTTCCATCCTTATTCGCGTTATTCACTTTTACACACTTTGTATTCTAGTCACACTAGACAATGAATTGTTCCTCACGTTCCACATGCCATCACCTGACAGCCTTGATGCCATAGCTGGAATGTACCATCTCCTCTCAGAATGCTTACCTCAGCTCAGATGCCACTTCCCTACCTTCACTGCTCTCTTCTCTCTCCCATATAGTTTTCTTCCTCCTGAAATGATTTTGTATTTTGTAGGATATAACAAACTCTCAGAGGGCAGAGATGGTTCTATTTTTCCCCATTGTATCCCTAGTGCCTTGCACATACATGCTTAAATAAATGTTTGTAGTGTTGAATGTGAGTGTCCTCAAGTGGCCAGGACTCTTCTTGGGCAGCTAGAATTCACCAGGACTGTTTTTTGGAGATGTTTTTGAATGACTTTTGTTTTTATATTACACTTACTTCTGAAGATAGTCTACCTTACTCCCATACTCGGTAAACTTACTTTGTAACAAAGATTAAAAAAAGACAAAGAAAAAACAGATTTGACAAAACCAGCCAACACATCAACTGAATAAAGAGGTTGGATTTAGTTACCAGGCTCTCATTATCTACATCTATGATCCTGTGATCTGACATTATAAGAAATATTCCACGTTAGTCCCCCAAATCTTCTCTGCTGCTCCTCTTGGTCATCTTATGGATTTTTAACAAGCTAATTTTGGGAGAAAA